CTAGAGTCTAGTCTAGATTTACGTTAGATTCAGTGAAGATAATTCGCACACTGCCGTGAAATGCCCACGAATTTTAGTATTAGATCAAGAGTCTAGATTTACGTTAGATTCAGTGAAGATAATTCTCTTACAGCCGTGAAAGGTCCGCGAATTTTAGTGACTTAGATCGTGAGTCTAGATCTACTGTAGATTTAACGAAAATATTTCGCACGCAGCTGTGAAAATATCGTAAAAGTTATAATAACTTTCGGTCGCAAAAGCCAGGGAAACTAAAAGGAAAAAGAAATTGTGTTTAAAAAACAACAACACAATAGTTGATTCCTCCAAAAGCCATTATTTAGTGATAAAGTGTCAACTAAACATACAAATATGCCTGTATATTATAGGCTCTGTTTATGAGGAGGATTTAAGCACAGTTAATAAAAGAATAAAACATTAGGCCTACCTCAAATGCATAACATGACTCCATAGTAGGCCTACTTTTATAAGATACACATAGGAACTAAAAATGTACATATCCACCACAGTGGATACACATTTTATTATGAAGGCATCTCTAAGAATGTTTCTTATAAAAAATATGGAATAGCAACCATTTGTAGCCTAATGTTCTTTAATAAATCTTTGAAAAAAGACATAATTTTTATTGATCCAATCAAATGGAAATTCTGTTTGACTACAATTGACAACCTCAGCGTAACTACTGTAACAATATAGATGAAAAATTCGAACAACATTCACTCACGAAGCACATACACACTCATAACCAGCGCTTTATGAACTAGACTTCTATGTAGGTTACTTCTCGATGACGACAGATGATCTTGTAACACTCTGACCGAAAGTGGAATAAAGGAGTTTTAAAATATTTATGTTTTAGTTCTAATGGAAAGGAGACGACCACTTCTTTCAGATCTTATGTAACAGTGGTTTAATGGGGGCAGGTTGTCTTAAAGATTCGTGAGTGATTTGGAAAGGCATTTTTTCATGAAAAAGCTTTTCAAGAGATGGTTGCTGTGTTCGAGTGATATAGGATGCTTTTTTAAATTAATCTATTTAGTTGATTTGATTTTGATTTTAGGCCATGTCATAATCTATTTAGTCGAAATTTTTGTGAAAGTGAAGTATTATCATACCAGCAGGCGATGGCACAGATACTGCTGATGGTTGCTGTATAGAAAAGAAAATGGTTGTTAAGAGTTTTTGGGATGACAGTCAAGTTGTTAATTGATTAAAAGATAACTTCCATAACATTTCCTATGGGAATACCACATTGTTTCTGTTCTAGCTAGGATGTTGGCAAGATATTTTTTATTCCCAAAATCGAGTAACAATAATTGATTTGATAAATGCATAGTTCTGTGTATGTTTTACAATGGATCACTCAAACGGGAGGGACACACACATATATATTTATATAATATATTTCATCCTTTAAAAACCTCCTAAAATTTTGTCAAGGAAAAGTGCTACTAACCCTAATTATAACAACCCCACATCCGTGACATATTCAACAGAGTTTTGCAGTAATGAACTTGCTAGAAGAATATGGTACTTAAATATCTGTACTTTTTTTTAGCGGCCCCGTAAGGGGAAAAAGCTGCTATTAGGTTTGTGCAAAATATCCGTCTGTCACACTCAGACCTCAAAAACTAGAAGAGATATGAAAAATATGATTTCATCATTAAATGCGGCTTGAAAAATTTAGGTGCAACGGCTACTTTTGGTTTTCTAAAAGCAAACCGTTTAATTTATAAAATTAATTATGCAAGCGATTTTTTCAAAAAAATACACCAATTCTAAAACAATTACGTAAATGTAAGGGAGGCAATGTTACAATATGCTAACAAAGGTGTGAAATTGATATGTATTTTCAGTATCACAAAGTCAAATATATGTATAAAATATACAGGAAATATTTAGAACAAATATAAATAATACTTAAAAATGTTTTTTCTGGTTAACTAGCTGCTAAAATTAAAAGAAAACTAATCTGTTTGTTTATAAAGGCTAATAATGCACTTTGTGTGTAAATATTACGCACATTTTTTAAAATGGACTTTTTATGCAGTGACTTTCGTGCAGTAGCGTTATGTCGCAGCATGATGCGGTGCTAAACAAATTCCTTAAACTTTTTTAAAAAATCAGATTTTATTTATTTTTTGTTTAGTGCCCCCATCTAAATAAAAGAAGATTATTTTTGTGCGTTTTGTCTGTTGGTCTGTCTGTCCATCACGATTAGATTAACAAATAACACTAGAGGCTCTTCTAACATTTAGATTTTATTTCCATACTTAAACATTGCAAGATACACATGATCTTTAATATATTGTTCCGGTTTTTTAATGTAAATAGCATATAAATGCTAAATAAAAATATCTATATTGATTTATATTTCATTAACTATAAATTTGTTCCGGATATTGTTTTATAAAAAATTAATTATGTCAAATGATTGTTTGAAATCGCATAATTGACTAATATTACACTTATATTCTTTGACACTACAGCACTATATTTTATTTATCAATATCAATTGTTCCGAATTTTTAACTTAAAACAAATTTATGTCAAATAATTATATTTTTTTCAAAAATATCGACAATTCAGGATTTTAAAATAAGAAAGTAATTTACTAGAAACGATTATTGAAAATCAATTTTTAGACTTATTTTACAGTTAATTTTCTTGCCGAAACATAATAAAAGTTGTTTAATCGGTAAAGAATGTTCCGGATTTTGTTTCGAAAAAGAAATCGACCTACATTAACTTAATTTTCTTACAAATCGTCGCCAAAATGATCTGAATTTTATATGAAAAATCTAATAACGCTAATAAATGTTTGAAATCCCTCTTGTAATAAATAAAACAAATAATTTTCTCATTTACAAAAATTGGTTGTTCCGGATTTTTTATGAAAAATAGTTTAACTCTATTTATATAAAATCGCACTTCTCTCTTACACTACATTTAACTTTCTATCTAAAAAGTTAAAAAATCTAATTATCGTTAATATTATGCTCTGATTTTTAAGGAAAACAACTTCCTAACACCAAAGTATGGTTTGATAAAATCTCCATAAGGGTATGGTACATCTAATTTTCATAACAGACCATCCCACAAATTTAATTTACGGCATTTGATTAATCTGGAATTCTTATTTATTTCTCACTATAAATATATAAACATCTGGAACAATCTATAATAGAAACTTAAAACTAATGCGATGTTTGGGAAGGGAAATTAATTTTAATCAGATTTTCAATAGCTTTTAGTCTTTTTTTTTCTCGCTAATAACATAACGGACAGACAAACTGATAGACAAAACCAAAAAAAGCATCCTCTTATATAAGGTAGCCCATCAAATGAAATGCTAAAAGAACAAACTCGGTGCACCAATGTCTATGAACCCTCAACAAGCTGCTCGTGTAGATGATATGTTTTAGTCTAACTAGGCCGTGTGACATAGTGGATTTTTTTCCTTTGACGTCATATGGAATAAATTCTTTAAATGCTAAAACAACTCGGTACAGTAATGTTTATTAAACCTCGTAATGTGACTTGCATTTTAAAAAGACATAATAGATTTAGATCTAATCTACGTTTTTTACACTAGATCTAGATTTTTTTTTACACTAGAGCTAGATTTTTTTTACACTAGAGCTAGATTTAAGTTCTAATTAAAATCATTATAGAATCTAGATCTAGAATTTCTTGGTCTAGTTTAGAATGTTTGTTGTTTTACATGTTTTGGATGTTCCTTCAGAGTTGTAGTCCAAACCTCCCGACACTCCCGTAGGACGACGGGGGATGGGAGCGGGCAGGGTTTGAACCTGGGACCATCGATGAATCCAAACGACAGTCCAGCGCGCAAACCGCACTACCAGACAGCCATGATTTAGACTAGATCAAGATCTATAATTTTAATTTCTAGGCTTAAAGTGTAGATTTTTATTTCTAAAGTCTAGATTGTCAATATAGCAATGTTATAAAATACTAAAACTAATCTACTATTTTAATATTTCATATTGCAATTAGTCTATTAATTGATTATCTAGTGTTTTTTTTATATAAATCTTATCTAAATTACATCTACATTATCCCAAATACATATTTTAGATCTAGATCTAGTAGATATAGATATTGAGAGTGCTATAGTAGTAGTTTAATTTAGGTAGATCTACATCCTCATTCTAGTTCCATTTAGGCCTAAATGAAAATGCTCAATACCAAAAGATTATCTAAATTCGCTCTTCTGACATATTTTACATATCCGGTAGTTGTCATTCCGTAATGTGTAGGTATATTATCAATAGTAGGCTATTAGTTTGTAACCAGTTTGTCATTAGATTAAGAGCAATGCCTGGTCGTGCGGTTAGCGCGCAGGACTGATTATCTCTACGGTCTCGGTTTCATACCCTGCTTGATGCCATCCTCCGTCGACCAGCGAATATGCGATCCTCCAGGGCTCCGTCTCCCACGGGGGCCGCCTCTGAGTTGGTGTGGTAACACAAACTCTCTTTGTAATCTTGTTTTTTCTTAAAAACATTTGTAAATAGAAATAGAAATCAGCACAGACATTCACTTCACTGAGTTAAAAAGTTAGTATAGAAATTTAACTCACACAATTTGTCACGGATTATCTCTACGGTCTCATGCCCTGCTCGATGCCATCCTCAGTCGACCAGCGAATATGCGAATATGCGTCTCCCACGGGGGCCGCCTCTGAGTTTGTGTGGCAACACAAACTCTCTTTGTAATCTTGTTTTAAATTCCTTTTAGAGGATCTTACATGCCTACTCAGAGCATTATGGTCCAGTTTCTAGTGGAAGCAGTGGAGGTTTCCTTTTGCCTCTAGGTGTTCAGCAATTGAAGCCGGGATTTAAACTCAAGCTCCTTGTAAGGTGGTGAAAAGGTTTTGGCAGCTCAGTGACACATCCCACTAATTCAACAAAGATGTTTAAGACTTTCATTATAAATTAATAACACTACACTGGTACCTTGTCGGTAGTTTTCAATATTTTTTTTTATTGATCATTTTATGGTAACAACTTAAAGATCTAATGCAGATCATGTTATATAAATATCATATTTTGGATACAAAAGGTCGAACATTTCATAATTTAAAAGATGTGAAACGCAAGGTGGGTTACTAGTTTCAGATAATTTTAAAAATGTGTTTTTACTTATCTTACTAGTATATATGGAGGCTATAAAAAAAAAGGACCATATTCTAATCTGGATATGCTTAGATGCCAATGGTTGAATTTGAGAGAAACTTTTTTTTCTTGTAGCAGTACCCGACCAACTTTTAAAAAAACTAAACAAAAGAAAAATATTGAAAAAAAAATGCTAACACTTATCAGCTAACCATTTACCCAGTAATAATAAAAATAAGGTGCTGTATGGCAGCAAAGTGTTGTGCTTCCCAAACAAGGAGTCTCAAGTAGTCTCAAGTACAATAATGAAAACTGGTACCTGTCATTAGTTGACAGTTGTGCTGGCCACTTGACACCCACATTAATTATCTGCCATAGAACAGTTGAGCTTTAATTATTTGCCTCATAGATCACAACATCTTTAAGAAATTTAATTCCTATTACATAGAGAACCTTATTATGGCACATATGAGTGTATAAATACAAAGCCTCTCAACTGATCTAGTTAAACTTTTGAACTTGATCATAGTTTAATTTTGGGATCTTTTACTTACCAACAAAGCAACTATTTAAAACAATGCAACATATTGAAAATAGGCGTCAAAGAAATGTAACAATAATGAAAATACATAGCACCAAAAATAGTTGCTACAACAATTTTAAGTACCATAACAACTTCACCTTTGTATTAACATCAATCCACCAAGACCAATGAAGTACCGTACACAGCTTATACAGATCTACAAATACAAACATGCAAATTGAACAAGAAATTTAGTAGAGTTTTCTGAGTTTTAAATAAATGAGAATCATAACATATGTAATTATATTTCATGGTAGATTTAATTACAAAGAACACAAGAACCAAAAATTAACCCCTGTTAAGTCAAAATGAGTTGTTTTTTTACACCAACAATAAGAAAAAAAAAAGCCAGTGACCAAAAAAAAAAACCAAACGAAAGTTTAAAAAAAAAAAGGGAGTGTCCCCTCCTGAACTATGCATCTTGTATTTAAGCGAATTGAAGTATTAGGTCAATTAAAGTAAGAGGTCATGTTCTAATTAGGACTAAAGTAATCCAAGCAACAGGGAAATAAATAGTTTTGTATAAACTTCTAAATAAACTTAACTAGTTTTATACATTCATTGCTAAATCATGCAAATACAAATTCTGAACATTCATTAATTATCAAAAATATGATCTTGTAAAAATGACTATAACAGTATATTTATATGATATTAGACTAGCATTTCCAGTTTATACGAAATATGCAGCTAATTGTGCCATCTTGTCTTTAGGTTTTCCTCGCCCACGTCCTCTGCCTCTTCCCCTCCCTCTTCCTCCTCTGCTGACTCTAGCTCCTCCGGTTCTTCTGAGAGCAACAGCATGATGTTTCTCTATAAGAGGTTTGAAGATAGCATCGCAGAAAACACAACCAGTATGTTCAGAGCTGGACTCTGGTAAAGGGCTTTTGCCTTCCTGAAGGTTGGAAGTTTAAAAATTACTTTCAATCAGCAAAAAAACAACAACAGGGCAACAAAATGTTTTTAGTTTACATCTATTTAACAGAAAGACATGAGCATATGTTAAAAAGAGAACTTATAATAGATAAGCTGCCGCAAAGTTGTGCTCACACAGCTTGTAACAAAATATATATGCATGCGTGCATTGGGAGGTTTTTCTCTTGAACTCTTCCATTGGATAAAGAAAAGCAAAAGTATTTTATCATTGAGATCTAGAACTGTAGCTAAATTGTGAGGGGGGTGTCTCCAAATTATATATCGCAATAGACAAAGCAAAGATATTTTACCCTCATGGGATACAATTGATGGGCCAAGAAGAGTGTGTGTAAGTGGGGCTTAATTGTCAAAAAAGCAAAGTAAAAATATTTCCTCAATGAGCGTTACTAAAATTGTAATGTTGACTGTTCTTTTGGTAGATATAAAAAAAAAAAAAAGAGAATAAAAACCTTTTGGTAAAAAAAAAACAACATAAAAACTTTACAGACATCACAATCTCTTGACAAATTGTGTGAGTTAAATTTCTATACTAACTTTTTAACTCAGTGAAGTGAATGTCTGTGCTGATTTCTATTTCTATTTACAAATGTTTTTAAGAAAAAACAAGATTACAAAGAGAGTTTGTGTTACCACACCAACTCAGAGGCGGCCCCCGTGGGAGACGGAGCCCTGGAGGATCGCATATTCGCTGGTCGACGGAGGATGGCATCGAGCAGGGTATGAAACCGAGACCGTAGAGATAATCAGTCCTGCGCGCTAACCGCACGACCAGGCATTGCTCTTAATCTAATGACAAACTGGTTACAAACTAATAGCCTACTATTGATAATATACCTACACATTACGGAATGACAACTACCGGATATGTAAAATATGTCAGAAGAGCGAATTTAGATAATCTTTTGGTATTGAGCATTTTCATTTAGGCCTAAATGGAACTAGAATGAGGATGTAGATCTACCTAAATTAAACTACTACTATAGCACTCTCAATATCTATATCTACTAGATCTAGATCTAAAATATGTATTTGGGATAATGTAGATGTAATTTAGATAAGATTTATATAAAAAAAACACTAGATAATCAATTAATAGACTAATTGCAATATGAAATATTAAAATAGTAGATTAGTTTTAGTATTTTATAACATTGCTATATTGACAATCTAGACTTTAGAAATAAAAATCTACACTTTAAGCCTAGAAATTAAAATTATAGATCTTGATCTAGTCTAAATCATGGCTGTCTGGTAGTGCGGTTTGCGCGCTGGACTGTCGTTTGGATTCATCGATGGTCCCAGGTTCAAACCCTGCCCGCTCCCATCCCCCGTCGTCCTACGGGAGTGTCGGGAGGTTTGGACTACAACTCTGAAGGAACATCCAAAACATGTAAAACAACAAACATTCTAAACTAGACCAAGAAATTCTAGATCTAGATTCTATAATGATTTTAATTAGAACTTAAATCTAGCTCTAGTGTAAAAAAAATCTAGCTCTAGTGTAAAAAAAAATCTAGATCTAGTGTAAAAAACGTAGATTAGATCTAAATCTATTATGTCTTTTTAAAATGCAAGTCACATTACGAGGTTTAATAAACATTACTGTACCGAGTTGTTTTAGCATTTAAAGAATTTATTCCATATGACGTCAAAGGAAAAAAATCCACTATGTCACACGGCCTAGTTAGACTAAAACATATCATCTACACGAGCAGCTTGTTGAGGGTTCATAGACATTGGTGCACCGAGTTTGTTCTTTTAGCATTTCATTTGATGGGCTACCTTATATAAAAGGATGCTTTTTTTGGTTTTGTCTATCAGTTTGTCTGTCCGTTATGTTATTAGCGAGAAAAAAAAAGACTAAAAGCTATTGAAAATCTGATTAAAATTAATTTCCCTTCCCAAACATCGCATTAGTTTTAAGTTTCTATTATAGATTGTTCCAGATGTTTATATATTTATAGTGAGAAATAAATAAGAATTCCAGATTAATCAAATGCCGTAAATTAAATTTGTGGGATGGTCTGTTATGAAAATTAGATGTACCATACCCTTATGGAGATTTTATCAAACCATACTTTGGTGTTAGGAAGTTGTTTTCCTTAAAAATCAGAGCATAATATTAACGATAATTAGATTTTTTAACTTTTTAGATAGAAAGTTAAATGTAGTGTAAGAGAGAAGTGCGATTTTATATAAATAGAGTTAAACTATTTTTCATAAAAAATCCGGAACAACCAATTTTTGTAAATGAGAAAATTATTTGTTTTATTTATTACAAGAGGGATTTCAAACATTTATTAGCGTTATTAGATTTTTCATATAAAATTCAGATCATTTTGGCGACGATTTGTAAGAAAATTAAGTTAATGTAGGTCGATTTCTTTTTCGAAACAAAATCCGGAACATTCTTTACCGATTAAACAACTTTTATTATGTTTCGGCAAGAAAATTAACTGTAAAATAAGTCTAAAAATTGATTTTCAATAATCGTTTCTAGTAAATTACTTTCTTATTTTAAAATCCTGAATTGTCGATATTTTTGAAAAAAATATAATTATTTGACATAAATTTGTTTTAAGTTAAAAATTCGGAACAATTGATATTGATAAATAAAATATAGTGCTGTAGTGTCAAAGAATATAAGTGTAATATTAGTCAATTATGCGATTTCAAACAATCATTTGACATAATTAATTTTTTATAAAACAATATCCGGAACAAATTTATAGTTAATGAAATATAAATCAATATAGATATTTTTATTTAGCATTTATATGCTATTTACATTAAAAAACCGGAACAATATATTAAAGATCATGTGTATCTTGCAATGTTTAAGTATGGAAATAAAATCTAAATGTTAGAAGAGCCTCTAGTGTTATTTGTTAATCTAATCGTGATGGACAGACAGACCAACAGACAAAACGCACAAAAATAATCTTCTTTTATTTAGATGGGGGCACTAAACAAAAAATAAATAAAATCTGATTTTTTAAAAAAGTTTAAGGAATTTGTTTAGCACCGCATCATGCTGCGACATAACGCTACTGCACGAAAGTCACTGCATAAAAAGTCCATTTTAAAAAATGTGCGTAATATTTACACACAAAGTGCATTATTAGCCTTTATAAACAAACAGATTAGTTTTCTTTTAATTTTAGCAGCTAGTTAACCAGAAAAAACATTTTTAAGTATTATTTATATTTGTTCTAAATATTTCCTGTATATTTTATACATATATTTGACTTTGTGATACTGAAAATACATATCAATTTCACACCTTTGTTAGCATATTGTAACATTGCCTCCCTTACATTTACGTAATTGTTTTAGAATTGGTGTATTTTTTTGAAAAAATCGCTTGCATAATTAATTTTATAAATTAAACGGTTTGCTTTTAGAAAACCAAAAGTAGCCGTTGCACCTAAATTTTTCAAGCCGCATTTAATGATGAAATCATATTTTTCATATCTCTTCTAGTTTTTGAGGTCTGAGTGTGACAGACGGATATTTTGCACAAACCTAATAGCAGCTTTTTCCCCTTACGGGGGCGCTAAAAAAGTTGAATTTAATCAGAAGAGTTTAGCATAAATATGACAATTGAGAGACTCAGATGCTTTACAAAATTAGTTTGATTTGAATCTATTTGTAGCACCATCTAAGTTCATGATGCTTCTAGTTT